ATTATAATATTATTATTATTATAATATATAATATTATTGTGCAGGCTAATTTTAACATCTAAAAATCAGTAAATATTATCAAAACAATTATTTTATTTATCTTTTATTCATGTGAAAGCCACCAGCTCAGCACACTGTCCTTGAGGAAACATACAGCTGCAACAGGAACACAGGCGCTGAGCCAAGTGGCACTGATACTTTTCCAAGAACACAACTCTCAAACCACCGGTTGGCAGGTTGGCAGGTTGAATCATGGGACTTATATTAACGGTTCGGGGCGGGTCTGGATTGGACTTGGAGATAATAATGGTCCAGTTCCAGTCTTGAGCTTTGTGGGTGCAGGTTTGCAAAACTGGACCCATGCACAACTCTGATTATAATAATAATAATATTCACAAGACTTGGATCCAGAGTAGGTAACTTGGTAAAATCCCATCACACAGAGCGGGCTTTGTTTTTTTTTTACGCCTAATCCCTCCGCCTCCTCCGCTACCTCAGCTGTCCTCACCAACTAATAATAAAGCATCTTAGTGTGAACCTGCATGGTAACAGCACATAAGCTCTATCTTAACACTCTTCCTACTTCAGCCCACACAGCCTGCTGGGGATTAGGGAGGCTGCTGGAGAGGAGTACGCGACTTAAAGACAGATAAAACAAGGGCTACTATAGACGACAGCGTACTTAGTGTGGCTGAAGAGTCGAGGGAGGATCAACGCAGCAATGTGGCCTCTTTTCCCTTGAATGAATATTTGATCAAAGCTCCCTGTTTTCAGTTTATAAGACGTGGGGTTTTCAGGCTGACTCCTTTCTTTCAAAACTTTAAATTAAACTATTTGTTATGATCAGAATTTTTAAAGAAATCTAAGGCAGGATCCCCAAACTAAAGAGCACCAGAGGGACGCCCTTTTTTCACACCCGAGCAGCACTCCATTCATGCCGTTTTGTAAACGTTATGGTCCTTTACAACTCTGGGGGAGGTCATGGGGTTAACGCTTTGAATCCCACTGTAGTAGGATTTCATGGTACTGTAAGGTAAATAAGCCTGTTTCAGGGTTAAGACAAGAGACAATTGGTATCAGTATCAGGTGATAATTCCTCAGAAATACGTAAACAAAATGTAAAGTGGAACTAATGCTTATCAGATACTTCTAAAATAGTCTCTGTGCCTCCCTGCAGGCAGCTTATAGCCCCTGGGTGCCCTTTTCTCTCACCTCATTGGGGTTTTCTGTGGGGAAGTCCTCCACTGGGGGGATGATGCCCTGGGCAATCAGCTGACCGTAAGAGGGAGGAGCCTGCTGCTGGATCAGCTCCGCTTCCTGGCGGCTAATTGGTGCGAACAAGCTGCCAGAAAAATAAGACACATTTAGATGCATTCACACACACACAGTCACTTTGCTTTCAGCTGCCAGCACATTTTGTTGTTTTTTTTAAATTGTGAAGCATAAACAGTCCTTTATTATATGTTTATTTATCTCTTAAAGCACACGTTGTTTTTGTTATATTAGAGTTAAGTTGAGTACACATGACATAACCGACTTTGGCTGAGACAAACTGCACGTGGGATGCTCACAGTTTACAACAACAACCTGGTGCTTCTTGTTTCTCTTATCATAAAGAGAGGAGTACACAGTGTACTGGCTGTGTGTTTGAGAGGTGATGTCTGGTAGTGTTGGCAACGACTGCAGCTAGTAGTAAGGAAAACAAACTCGTGACTCACTATCACAGATTATTAGCACAAAACCTGAGTGAGGCATCAGTCTAAGTCACAAAAAAATCACTATAATGCTGCATCACAGGAGCAAAAAGATATTCTAAAACCTTGTGTATAAAAAAGCAAACATGAAACATATAATCCAGAAGAAACTACAGGGGAACTGGTTGCTTAAATGCCTAAAGGTAAGGTAAGAGTTACCTGTACTCTCTGGTCCGGAGCGAGTACAGTTTACAGGTGCAGCCCATGGCGATGACCAGCAGAAGCCCACAGACCAGGCTGCCGACCGTTGCTGCAGTGATGACCTTGCGGGGCAGGATGACGGTGCAGTTGAGCTCGTCCGTTGCGTCCTTACAGTCTACCTGGCCGTCGCAGCGCCAGCTCTCAAACACACACCTGCAGACGGGACAATGGGCCGCTTGTGCGTTAGAGTGAGCGAGGAATAACTCCAGAGAGAGATTCAGTTTCACATGAAGCTGCATCCTGAGGCGGCCAGTATGACACATTATAATAAAACCGATCTTGTGATTAGATACTGCTAATAGTGTATTAAATGATTATTAAGTTATGTATCATTTGATCCATTAATGTAAAAGTTACATCAAGCTGTTGTTACCAATACATGCAGTAAATCAAACACGTATTTAAATAATGTTAAACAATGAAGTGTTGAGGCTCGTGACCTGATATAATGTCTTTAGTGGTCAGTTTTACTAAGTTATTAGGTTTTCAGTTATACAATCATTTAACAAATCCAACAATACACTAAATCTGGAAGCGTAAGGCACAGTCTCAGAGTTTATTTCTGGAAATATACGAACACTTTTTAGTCTCAGTTTAAGTTTCGTACGTCATAAAAATCTACTTAAATTCTTAGATGGTCACATTCCTGCACACACCCTCTGACTCACACACACACTTTATAACCAAGACACACCTAGCAATGATTACTAAACTAACCTGACCACAAAGAAGGCACACACCATTTAGCTCATTATACAAAACAATCTGTGAAATATGTGAAAACAAAACAATAGCTGAGGAGCTACTAAATGGACCTTGAAGAGAGAGAGACTGTTTTTTTACATGCTGCTTTAAAAAGGACAAAAATAAGCTTTCAATGCTCAAACCAACTACAATGAAAACAAAAATGAGACAACCGTCCTCTCTGAGTCAGTCTGAAACTCTCTCACTGACCTGTCGCTGTCACAATGAAAGGTCCCCGGCTGACACACGGTGCAGTCCCTCTCGTCGCTGCCGTCGGCACAGTACAGCTGGTAGTTGCATCTCTCCGTGACCGGGTAACACACCGGTCGGCCGGCGAAGTGATTAGACGCCACCGTTCTCTGCCCCGCAACACCGCACGCAAACTGGTTCGGACTGCAGCCCCGGCAGCCCTCCTCGTCCTTCCCCGTCTCCGGACAGTCCCATTTCCCGTCGCAGCGCTGCTCCTGGGTGAAGCAACCTCCTGCTGCTCCCCCACACCGGCCCTCCCAGGGGGGGCAGTAGGTCCCGACGTGGAAGGTGGCGTTGAAGCCTTTGCCCTCGGAGCCAGGAAGAGTCTCATACGTCATGGACAGCAGGCCGGTGTGGGATTCAACTTGGACTGACTTGTAATTGGAGGTGCTGGTGATCTGTTGTAGGAAGAGAACGTCATGTTAAATAAAACAGATCCGTCGTGTAGGCTCTACTGAACATTTCTGATTTAAAGAAACTCACAATTTTAATAATGTCTCCGTTGCCTTGCTCTCTGTTGTACACAGTGAGTTTATCCCCGGGCCCCAGAAACAGCTGCTGCAGGTCCAGTCTCAGTGGCCTCGGGTCCTGAGGGTCCAGAGTCCAGACACAGAACAGCGCAGGCCCCCGGGAGGCTGGAGGGGAGAAGGTCCCATAGAAGGTCTGGTGGAGCCCTCCGCAGGGCCACTCGATGGGAGTGGGTGTCACGGCGAGCTCCCTGCGAGTCTGAGGCTGCTCTCGATCCACCTGGGCCTCCTCCTCCTCCCTGTCCTTCAGCAGCGCCCAAAGATCAGCATCAGAATCTCCCTCGGGTGTCTTATCTACAACCTTACGTCTCACCACGTTCCTATCATCGTCCTCCTCCGTGTACGTCTCCGCTTTGGTCTGTTCTTCCTCTGTGCTGCCATACTTTGGGGCTTCTGTGGGTTCCACGTCTGTATCGCAGCCCTGTTCATCGGACCCGAAGTCAGCACCTCCATCGAGACACTCCACCTGACCGTTACAGCGCCAAGAGAGAGGAAGGCAGCGGCCCCCGGGGCACTGAAAGGATGTTACTGGGCATTCACCAGAGTCTGGATGTGTAGAAACAGAAGGGGATAAAAAAAAAAGATACAAAGAAAGGAATTAAGGCTATCTTTTGAAAACAAGAAGTGGAATTTGCTGCAGAAATACAGAGCGATAAATATAACACCATGCTGTCATACCTCTGGCAAAGTTTAACAGAAAAGACGACACAGGAAACAGATGTGGGAGGAAGTGGTGTGTCACTGTAATGTTTCCTCCAGGGAGCTCGAATGGTTGGGGCAACTTGGATCCACAAAGGACAATCGGCTCACCGCCAGCTGATGATTTTATAGACACCCATTCCTTCCTACACCGTGCTGAGAACTGTGAGAAGCTGAGAAAGGATTTAAAAAGGTAAAATCAGTAAACACAGAACCTCACTTACATAAAAATAGAAGAAAAAGAAGCACTTTTGAGGGAAAAGTGAATATAAATTGTAAAATATCAGCTAATTTAGACCATGTTAGGTAACCCTCTAATATGAGAAAGGCTGCAAATAATTAGCAGGACTGCTTTATGACAATATTGGATTCTTATATGATTTTGACATTAATTTGATCTTCTTTTCTTTTCTTCTGGTTATTTTATCCAAACATAGTTTCTCAATTGCTTTTTATCCATATTGCCCTCTCTTTAGCTAATCACACCAGGATCTGCAATATTTTCTATGTAGCAAAAACATTCAATACTTTGAGTAGCTCATCGTATCCCAGAGGGAATCTGATTTACAGGAGGCAGATTGTTTAATCTCAGCTCTTCGTGTAAGGTGATATTTAGGAAACGAGACTGGAAAGCAAAGTCCTGGTATTTTAGTTCCCCTCAGAGACTTTACCTGAGAACAACACGTTCTCCTTCCGAACTCTTGATGATCCAGCAGTCATAGATCGAGCCGAAGCGGTAGGACCAGCTGTGGTAGGCAGAACTCCTGATCTGTCCCACTTTACTCTCTAAGACTTGGACGGGATGCACACAGCGGACTGAGAAACAGCAAGACAAACGGAGAAAACGTTAAGAAGTCTAAAAAAAAAAAGAAATAGTTGGCTAAACCTTACACCAGTTTAAGTTAACGTTATCATCCTACAGCACAAAAACATAACACAAGTGAAAGTACTGTTAAACATGACGTCTGTGGTTATAAAAGTATGTAACCAGAATGTGACGTCCATTCATAAACAGTCACAACGTGAGATGAAGTGCCGACTAGTTCGTCTCCTTACCAGCACAGAGGGCGGGCTCGAAACAGATGCAGGCTGTGGATGAAATAAGCAAAAAGAGAAGAGTCAGGCAGATGTTTGTTTTATCACCGACATAAATCGTAAATGCTGCAAACATTGACCTCTGCTTGATAAAAAGGTTTAATGAATGTGTATTCACTCACCTGTTATTGTGAAAACTAGCAGGGCACAGAAGTTGTAAGTCATCGTGGTAATGCTTCTCCTCTAAAACGCTGGAAATGATTGTTTTTTTTTAAAAAACTGAAGACTTAAAAAGGGAGTTTTTAAAAAAATAAATTATCGTCAAAGAAGCTTCATTTTAAGAGGTTTTGTTCAGGAAGACTTCACCTGCAAACTGAAAGAAGAGGAGATGAATAAGAGGCGTGTTCGATAAATACTGCCTCACAATGATATTATTGTACTATATTACAATATTGTTGTTGTAAACTGTTTGTTATGATTAAGGTATGAGTGATAAACTAAAATATCTTTAGGTTTTGAAGCATTGGTCGTACAAAAGCAGGTTTTACTGTTTGTTTTTTAGATTATTTTTAGATGAAATGACTAGAAAACAATCAGCAGTTCAACCAATAACAAAAAATAACTATACGACTCATTTCCATTCATTTAATAAACACTTTAAACACACATTTATCAGATTTATGTCCAACAAAGTAAAGCGCAATGAGCAATACATCCGTAGTTACATGTTTATACATCCGGGCAGGACAACAATTCACGGATCTCTTGAATCTATCACTTTGATCTTGAACACAGTGTTTACTCACAGCATTTCCTTCCCATAATCTGCTCGACAATGACGCCACAAACGCTCTCGTTTCCGTGATCAAAAACAAAAACACTTTTTACTTTACTTATTCCTCGTATTCCCGGTGAAGTAAAAAAAAAAAAAACCCGCAGGCTCTTGAACTCCGATCGATTAACAACCTCCGTTTTATCCCCTACAAGTCGAGATCACGTCCCCCGAGATAAGGTTGCGAGATAGTTTGGCTTTTGAAGGGGAAAAGGGAGCAGCTGCTCACCTTCCTCCCTCACAGGCGCTTTAACAGCCAGTAGCTTTCTCCTAGCGACCTAACGGCTAACGGCTGAAAGCTAACGGCTAACGGCTGACAGCTAACGGCTAACGGCTAACGTCCCGACTTCTGCTTTCCGCCTCAGACGCCGTTGCTGCGCGGCGGCACCGCAAGAGACGGCGTCCGGGCACAACGCCGGGGGTTTGAGCGCCCGGGTGAACCGCAACACGCAGGTTAAGACGTAAAACAACGATCTTTTTTCGTTAAGGTTAGGACAACAGACGAGTTACGTTACCGTGTCAGTCGGCCTTTTCTTGTTGACAAGTTCAGAGCCACTTCCGTGTGTTTTAGCGCATGACGCCAGAGGGGGGCGGGGCTTAGCTGTGTTTATTGCATTCATAAAAACTGTACGTGTTTCTTCTCTACGTTAAATGTTTTACTCTTATTATGTGTTTGTTAAAAAGTGCTGTACATCAATACAACGATGTTTGTATCGATTCGAGGCTGATTCATATCTAAAAAAAGGGTTTATTGGTGGAGTGTTTATGCTTCACCACAAGGTGTCACTGTCGGGTCGCTTTAATATCCAAGGTTTCAGTTTTGATTCATTAGACTGTAAACAAGAAGGTTTTAATTCACACAAATGTGGTAGGGACCTACTTGGCTGCTTAAAAGTAACTACTGAGCTGATTTAAGTATATATATTTTAATATCATACTTTACTTAAAGATCTCCAGACATCAATATATACAATTAGAACATTTACTCATGTGTTTTAGTTTCAGAGGGAAACTTTTTACTCCATTACATTTACTTGATCACTTAAGTTACTAGTTATTTTCCAGATTCAGATTAATAATGCAAAATATAATCAGTAAATAACTTATGAGGTATAATTAATTATAGGTTAAGATAAGAAAAAAGAGAAGAATTCCCCACCTCTACCAGAATTACAACATTAAAGTAAAAAATAAACACATTAATAATGATAATATTAATTGATAATTGAAAATTCCATTAAAATATTACAAATTATACATTACAATACAGCTCGGTCGTAAAGAAAACATTCTATTTATTAATATATGTTATTCTGAAATTAGCCATAATGCCTAATGAGTTATTGCTATGTTAACGTAGCCTAAATACAGCAATACCACATATAAAGATATGAGTTCTTCTTCCACCTCTGGTAATATCTGTCTCTGTATATCACTGATCAGCTATAACTCATAACTCAGTGTATAGTTTTCACGTATTTGTATATCTTATACTTTTTTAACTGCAAGTCTACAGTTCTCTAGTTTATAGATATATTTATAAGTTATTTATACATAATACTGTGTATTTCTAAAAGAAAAAACGCATTTCTGTTATGAAAATGTTTGTTGTGTTTCCACTGACAATAAAGCTCCTTTGAACTGAACTGAACTGAATTGAACTGAATTGAATTGAATTGAATTAAAATATGGGTAGGGCTCTGGTTTCAGAATTAGAATCAGAATTAGGTTTATTGCCAAGTAAGTTTTTACACTTACAAGGAATTTGTTTTGGTGCATTGGTGCATAAAATAAAAAAAATCACACAAGAATAAAGTACTTTTTAGAATATAAATAAATAAAGATAAGGATAGAAAGAGACAAAATTGTACAAGAAACAGGAGTGCATTATTGTAATGCATATATACAGGGTGGGTAGTCAATTTCCGTCCTACCCATTAGATCAAATTTTTTTTTGTCTCATTTGAGAGCTTCTCATCACAAAGAACAGACATTCAGTATGGAGTACGGTTTTGTCCTGGGTCCACTACTTTTCAGTCTTTATATGATACAACTGGGGGTGATCATCCATAAGCACAGAATTGATTGTCATTACTATACAGATGACACCCAACCCCATAACATGTTACCATCAACTCTGACCTAAATTTAACAGTTTAACAACTAGAACAACATTTTTATCGTGTAAAGGTCCAGTGTGTAATATTGAACCTTTAAAGAACATTACTACTTTCCATGCTGACCCACACAGGTGTTTAACTACATGATGCCACCAAGTTCATATACCCTTACTTTAAAGTCCAGCTGAAATCAAATGCAATGTTCTGGGGTTTTTGTTTCTGCTTCAGCATACAAATATGCTCCAGTGTTCTCCAGACAGCCAAAGAACTTGTTTCCATCCTGCAAATGAAATTGCTTTATTTTAACCAGAAAGCAGTATGTCACTTAACAGCAGCCTTCTACACAACTCAAGAGACATAGACCAGCATTCTCTTCTAAACTATCCTTCTAATCTAACAAACAAATATGAACACACATCATGCTCTTAACAAAAAAACATTGACAGGGAAAAGTGCTCATCCAATACCAGTAGGTATAGGTAAGCTGCAGCACATTAAACAGCATGAGAACATACCAGCAAATATTACTTCAGGCTGTTTAGATGCTGATGCTGTCCTTAGTCTTCTATACCACTGCTACTATCTGCCAGTGAAATGTAAGTTTGTAAACTTTGTCTCTTGTTCCCCTGCTGGAGCTCTGCTTGCCAGCTTCTGTCAGTGAGATGGTCTGGATACACCCACACAGTCCTGAGAGGAGGTCTGATTAGTCACAGAAGTGAAAACGCCTGTGTGGTTGAACCATAGGTGTATAGGAGCTCTACTGTACATCCTTCATTGGGTTAGTAAAGAACTGAAAAGAATGACAATAAACTATATAGCGCTTTTACAAAGTCTTAATGCTTTACAAGACAAAACAAAAAAATCTAAACTTCATTAAACAGGATGAACGTTTTTAAAATAATCAATAATTGATAAAGATCAGAATTAGGAGAATGTCTATGTAGGTTTTAAAAAGTTTAAAAACACAATTCGCAATAAAACAAAAAAACACAATAATGTGCCCTTTCAGTGGACAAGATGTGGCTAAAGTGCCCTCTAGTGTGCTAATCCTAACCCTGACTAAGCTGTTTTACCATAAAGGCATCACAACTATCTGTGTGCTGGGGCCCTTTTTATTCCGCAACTGCCTCCAACCCTGTGAAAGCACACTAAAAACATGTTTTTAAGTGGAATATAAAAGAGGAAAAGGAACTTGCCAATCTGATCTCCTCAGGGAGGTTGTTGAAGAGAAAAGGAACAAAAACATTAAGTTTCAACAGAGTTAGATAGCTTAACAATGCAACCTGAGACCAGCAATGGTACATCTGACACACTGCTTTCACACACACAAACACACACACGTGTCTGCAAATAAGATCTCATCTATTTACAGTATCTACTCTCACACACAAGCACACTATTGTCTTTGTCTTACTGCACATCACACAGAATCTCATGTTGCTCCCTGTAGCTTTGTCTTGCTGCCTGTAGGTCCCTTCTCTCTTTCTATTCTCTCGCTCTCTCACATGCACACACACACACACACACACTCTTCGACATACTGCATCATCCATCTGTTGTGCATCCTTTCTTATGCTGACTACAAGTGTTCCTTCAGACTATATAAACAAGTGTTTGTGAGAGATATGAATGCTAATACCTAGCTTAACACAACAGGCCTCCAACCTGTCATTCAAAGAATCTAAATTAAATAAGCTTTACAGGGCTGATGTTAGAGTTGATGCCAAAGCCTAAACTAGTATATACTCAGTAATTTCAATAATTTAATACAATTAATTTGTTTTTATGAAAAAAAGAACATTTTAATAATCTAAATAAAGTATATAATCTTGGGAGTTATGTGGCAAAAACACACAGATTAGTACCAAACTGTCCTATATCTCTATGTGTGTCTCCAACTCCACCATCTCCCCAGTGATGAACACTTAATTGGCTTGTTTGTTTTAGACAGAAAAAATGTTTCCATAGCTGTGTACTAAATCACTGATTATTTGCTCATCTCTGTCTATTTCTCTATAGGCTCATACTGCGGTTCCTCTGGAGCCAACATACCTAGCTGATGGTGAGTAATTTGATTTACACGTAACTACTCCCTAGGACTAGGGATTTAGGGTGGCTAAGTAACGATGTATGTAAGTATGCAATATTATCATTACTTTTTTAGTTGTTGCTTTCTCGTTGTGAAAAACAAATACTGAACATGACATCACATCAACACGTCATGTTGTTTTTGTGGCAGTAGCTGGCCATCCTCTGCGTTTCTAAATAATCTTTCATTATTGTAGTTACCGCGACAGCCCTAATACTCCTACAACATTGTTTTAAAATAACTACACAGATTAAACATTTCTGCCTGTAGTGGGGCCCTATCTTGAACAGTTAAAAGTCCAGTGTGTAACATTTAGGAGGATCTATTGTCAGGAAATGGAATATAATATTCATAGGT